TCTTAGAGAGTGCTTATAACACAATAGGATCCATCCATCCATTATCTATACACCGCTTAATCCTCACCAGGGTAGCGGGGGGGCTGGAGCCTATCCCAGCCATGGAGTAACTACTATACATCTTAATCCATTTTTATTCTTGATTTTTTCTTCAGCTTCTCTCTTAACCCCCCTTGTGTGATGTCGTCCTTTTAACCAGTTTTTAACTATCTATCCTTTCTGTACATTTTCATTTTTTATGGTGCGTATTTACATGTGTTTTCATGGACTTTTTGTTTTTACCTGTGTTTGGCTTGTCCTGCCTGATATTTTACCTGTATTTTATGTTCTACCTGTCAAAGCACTTTGTGAAATGTCCAGAATCATGGGACCACCTGTTGTACAAAGCTCTTGATTTCTGATGTTCCTTATCAGTTTAAACCCCTAAATGCACTTAAAGTTTTATATTTCACCTTTTATTTAGGAGAAATGGCTATTTTGAAGAAATAACTATAACTTCCAGTGGCGTTACAATACATTGTGATTGGACATGCCATGAAATATGTAGTTCTTCTTGAGGTTTACAACTAGGGTTGTGTTTTTGTATTACTAAACTAAAATAAACTGATTGATGTACTGACAAATGTGCTACTGTTAAAGTATAACACGTGTGGTATGAAATAGGTGTAAAAGAGTACATGGTATTGTGGTATTTTTTCGTGTTTTTATTACACCAGCAGTGTTTGGGGGAAATTTGCACACGTTGCAAAGGCAGCCCTGTTAGTGTCGGCACGCAGCCTCACCGTAGACCTGGAAGAGAGTTGTCTTACAGAGTCTGTAATGTTTTTGTTTGTACAGTAGGTGGCGGTAATGCATCTGAACGTTGGATTCCAACCACCAAATCAATAGAAGGAGAAGAAAGTGCAGCATCTAGGCTAGTAGCTAATGTAGTCGACGAACTAGGTAAAAGCTGCACAAAGCTGCAGATACATTCCCCACCACTGGCCTCTCAGTTGCAATAGTCTGATTATCCATCGCTGCGATCACAGTACACCTTACGGTTACCGTTTTCCTGCATGTGTCCTTCTTTTCAGAGTTATATTCGTTTACAGAGAATTGAAAGTAACAACGAGCATGTAGCCCAAATACAGTACTTTTTTTTTTTTTTTTACTTTTTTGTAAAAGTCTCCTTATCTTCCTTCACTGCACTTGATTTGCTAACTGTATATCTTACCTAGTCTAGCTTGCTGTCACTTACTCTGCAGCCGTGGAATCACAAGAAGAATGTCTGGGATCAGAGCACCCCCTGCTATGAGGCAAGAGAACTGCCTGCCTCACCTCGAACCTCTTCTCAGCCGTTTATGATCGCTTAGCACACTAAACATGTTACACAAATACAGTTGGTAGCAAAAAAACACTGTACATTATTATATACATCAGCTAAACTATGGAAAATCATTTCATACATTAAATGTTTTTGAACCGTGTTATTGGTGACGTACAAACAGCAGTACGCTTTCACTGCATGGCAACCAGCGCAGGTAGCGAGGGATTGTGCAATACAAGGTGAGGATCAGCTTGCCGCTGCCTCACTGGCTTCTCTTCCAAGCATTTTAAAGGGAAATTGCAAAAATGTTGCGATTCTGAATTAAAAAAAAAAAAACATTAACATTGGTGAGGCTAAATGAAAAATAAATACTTTATAGTACAAATCACTGGATAAATACAACCATTTAAATTATTTTCGCATTATATATATATATATAATGATTTTTTTTGTTTTCATGATGGCACTCTGTTTCAGAGCGATCTCAGAACAGCTTCTCTCTGCCTGGATATTTTTTGCCTTTTATACTTGAATGTATACGGAGTTTATACGCAGCTGGAGCACACAGTAGCTGCTCAGCACCGGTATTTACAGAATGTTAATGTTGGTCAGCGTGGGTGCACACATCTATAATTACAATTATTCTAATTTAATGCCTGAAGAAGAAGAAAAGAATGACAAAAACACCACAGTATATGCGCTGTCTAATAGGGAAAAAAACATGGCCCAGACACGAAAGATAATTCCAATTGAAATGTACTGGTTTGAAATTCGTGCTGGGGAACACAAAAAAAGTTGGGCAAATTATGTCCCAGGACAGGAATCAACAGATTAAGTTTTGTGACTATTTCACAAATTGCCGTGAGACTGAGTTGAAGAATACTGTCAGTTTATTATTCTGGACACAGGATACATTATGATTTGCTGCTCACCATTGTAAAATAACAGTACAAAAAGCTACTGTAAAATTATGCTGTTTAAATTGCAGCAATTTGTTCCAGTGCAGATTGGACTTCAACTGAAACATGGTACTTCTGGCTGTACAGAAGCAAATCTTTTCAGCAGTTTGGGCTTTTAACATGCGCGTCTTCTAGGAAGCAGTGGCCACAATGTAAAGAAATGAAAAGACAGGAATCATATTCAGCTCAGAGACAACGTAAAAAATGCATCCATGTATAGGCCGAATGTGACAGAATTTGAATTTATCAACAGATTTTGAATTTTCTGAATGACAAACTGTGGCTCTACTTAGCTGAAATGTATCTGAGAAAAATTTCCAACCGGATGTTGGATGAAGCCACTTTCTGGACGTGCAGGTCTGTGCTACATGTTGCTGAGATTTGTAAGGTGTGTGCATCAGCTCCCCAGTGAGCTTCTGAGACTTATTGTTACACAGAACAGCCTTCTCTGCATAGGATTACAGAGATATTTCTTTGTATCTCTCCTGAACATGTAGAAGATGTGATGCCTGTCTGTGTTTCATGATCTAACGCAGTAGATCATTGATTCCACAAAGAAAGAAAAAAAAACAAAAAAAAACAAAAAAACAAGAGCAAGAAGTACAGAAAATAGAATAAAGAATACTGAAATATTAAAGAGCAAAACAACAGACTATGTACATTTAATTCAAAGTTTAAGTTCAAAGGGGCTTTATTGTCATTTCAACCACATATAGCTGTACAGTAGACAGTGAATGAGACAGTGTTTTCCAGATCCAGAGCTAAGGTCCTACATGCAACAGCAACTATGAACATTTAAGAAGTCGTATGCAGAGCTACATGCGGAGACCCTGGGTTACTGCTGAGACGATGTAAACATCGGACATACAATGCAAACATCACACATGTAGTGCAAAGAATGTAGTGCAGAAAAAGATAAGATAAAAAAAGCCTTCATTAATCCCACAGCAGGGAGATATGCAGTGGTACCCCCCCACCCCCAAGTGGATTGTGCAAAATTGTAGGAACACAACATAGGTAGAAATTTAAAAAAAAAATGAAAATACACATAAGTACTGTTGATACTGTACAGATCTTTTTCCATATGTTGAAGCACAGATCCTCTGTATGGGAAAGGTGACAGTATTGCAAAGGATTATTGTATGTGCAGAAAAACAATGATGTTGCACAGATTCTTTGGTGAGTAGAGAAAACAGGTTATTGTAGAAAAAAAAGATGTTGTATTATTGAGTGTTTTTATGGAACAATTGTTCTGTTTTCCTTCCCATTTTTTCCCTTATGTCCGATTGTGGCCTTGAGTCAGCAACACTACAGTTTTGTTTTATAGAGTGGTAATTATATCACTATAGTCTCTTCGCTGTGTTACTGTATACACATCTGACCTGTGTTTGTTGCACATGACCACCATTTAGCAGGAGGAGGAAGCCAGCATCTGAATGAGTGAAAGAAAATGACAAAAAATCATTTCATACTGTTTCTATCCTCTAAAAAGGGTCCCCTTTCAAAAATAAAGAAATGAAGTTGAACTTAATTTCTAAGTGGATGTTGATAGTGCTGAGTTTGAACGCTCTCTGCTGAGCCTTGTGCTGTCACGGTTCAGACTACCTGCGAGCATATTCCTGTTGCCAGGTGGAGAGGGGAGATGGAGAGAGCCGGCAGCCATTAGCAATGTTGGCTATTGGAAGTGAAAGGAGAAGAAATGTGGGGCAGCTTTGCCACCCGTTTGAAGTAGGGACAGCTTGTTTGTGAAGTGGAGGCAGAGCGCTCGGCTTTCATGTCCTGCTCTCATGTGACCTGGGGAGACCTCAGCTTCATAAACCATATTGACTATATTGCCTGAAGAAAAAAAAAAAAAAACAGAAAAAAAAACCCACTGACACAATCTATTCCAGCACTTACGGGGCCCGGAAGCCTGAAGCTTTATGAAGTGAGATAAATGGAAGAGCGCTGGGAGTTTCAAGGCCAGCCCTTGACATGACTTACAAACAGACAAACATTAAAATGTTCTCAGGCATTGACTCATTACCTGAGTAATAAATGAGAGCTTTAAGGGAATAGTGTGACAGTTAATTTCAGGCTGCATAACAATACCAACTCTGTGACATTTGATCAGGATTCTTTTAACAATACTGTCACACTCCATCAGCACTCACTCTGTGATCCTGTAAATGATTGTGTGATTAAACATGAATTAAAAGTGAAACCATGAAATTGCAAGTCCTCCCACCACCTTCTCTAAACTTGAAATGTAGTGCTCTTAACGGGAGTTTTTGACACAACTGCTGATCCAGCTCTTGGGGATGAGGGCTTGAGAGACTTAGACGTTTTTTTGTCGTCTCTGCATTTCTTGGGAGGGAATTGGCAGATTATTTGGTCAACCTCGATCAGTTCCACCACAGCTTAGGGGGATACATGCTCGCTGACTAATATTGCCCGGAAATCCATCAAAGTCAGAGGGCTTGTCCCCCTTTTAAAACTTGCGTGTTCCAATCAAGCGCTCAGCGCGTCAAAGCCATCACAAACAGAGGCCCCACTCTGCCTGCAACCGGCGCTGACAGATCCCGATGAAAATAAATTATGCTGTCCTCAAGCATGAAAGTACCTTGTGTAATGTCGAATGAGACGACAGTTAACTTTAATCTTCAAAGCGTTCCTATAACATAATGCAGTTTTCTTTGCTGGCTTAATATCTCTAAAATAAAAAGCTGAGATGCTTTTCGTCTCATCAAGAGATTTGATTTAGGATGCAAAAATGGTTTTCTGTTGTTACACATCATGGGTGGTGTTGGCATGGAGTCATGTTTCCCACAGTTAAAGTTTAAATTCAGAGATGATAAGCTGGAACATCTACTGATAAGAAAGGTAGCTCAAAAAAATAAGAATAAAAATAACAAAACAAAACAATACAAAAGAAAAGAGACATCCTTGCAGTTTTGAGCTTTCAGTTTCATTTTAAACCAAACACATCATTCAAAGGTGTTTGAGGAGCCACAGAACAGCTAAAAAACAGAAGGCTTGATTGGCTCATGACATCTCGAGCCTTCAATTCTTGCAAAGTTGTCAGTAAAAGAAACTACTGTCACGTCTGATATGGTGATGTATGGTGACAGACACAATCCAGGTGTTTTCAGGTTTAAAAGTTTGAAAGACAAAACAAGTTAAACCAAACTACAAATGCTGTCTTTCTGCTAAATTTTCTGATTAGCAGTGTGTCTCAAAAATACATTAATACAGATTCCATGCCACGCTGATACACCACATGTTAAAGCTGATAGTACAGCAGCTCGTACAATTGTACATACACTGAAAAAAATGTTTCGTTGAATTTACTCAATTTTACTCTGTCAAGTGGTTGCACAAAACAAATTTATTTAAATTTGAATTTTTAAAAAAATTTAGTTGACTGAACTAACATTTTTTGAGTAAAATCAAATATATTTTGTTAAGTATTTTTTCCTCTACCACTATGAGTAAAATCAAGTCATATTTCCTGAGTAATTTCAATTAAACCCATTTTAAATGTACTTGAGTAAATTATGATTGCCATCAATGATTTTTTTGAGCTCATTCAAATAAATTCAATTGATTAATTACTGAAAAATGTAATTGAATTCAGTCTAATGTTTTAGTTCAATCCAGGCCTGTTTCATGAGTTTATTTTTTTAAATAATTCTGTTGAACCACGGTTCAAACACAATGTCTGATTTTCATTGTTTAGTTTTCATTGATTTATTATTTATTATTACTTTTGTCAGATTCAAGTTATTTCTGTAACCGTTGTGGGTTTTTCTTTCATTAACCGAGGGGTACCAACAATTTTGTCCATGTGTATATAACGGCAACATCAACAACATGTAGGTGTGAAAATGTGCCGATACATCATCTTTACAAACACTGTGAACTACTAGCATTGACATGTCCACATTATCCATGTAAACCTACACCCTTCACACATCCTAACTATTTAGAAGCCTGGTATGAACAGAAACACAAATACATTTTTTTTAGACAAGAATAAAACTTCACATTCTGTTACCAGAAATACTGGCACATATTTGAGTGCAGTCTTTAAAATAGCAATAATAATAACAATAATAATAATAATAATTAAAGCTGCAAGCAGCGTTGGATGGGCCCTCGCACTTCCGCGCGTGTCGGATGCGGCGCACATCGGGGTTGTGACAGAAATGCGCTCTGAGCAAGGTGACAATCACCTTAACGTAACCCTAACCACGTTCGAAGTTAATACGGTCAACCAGCTCATACTGGCAAATATAATTGTAGAACGTGTCCTTTCATGTCTCCAGAAGGTGGCGCTGTGACTGTGAATGGATAATGGCATGATAATGTTATCAGGGCAAGACTCTGATCCAACATGTAAAGTCTGAGGGCTCGAGCAGAAAGACTAAGGACAGCTTCCACCTGAGAGCTGTGACAGCTATCTCCCCCCTCCTCACACACACATTCTCAGGGCTCTTCCAGACACAGACACCCCAACCATCACCCCTCCCCCGCTGACTGACACACACACACACACACACACACATACACACACACACACAGTCCTATACAGACAGCACACTAAGTACACAGGTGACCCACTATCTCACTCAGCCTTTATAAAGTTGGGACTTCTGACTGCAGTTTCGTTGTGTGTACAGAAGCATGATGACAATCAAAGGATTGTGATTGTGACTGAGGCAGAGTGCAGCATGCAGAGGGCAGGGAGACAGCACTCACTCTTTCATGGCAAAGCATCAAAGTTCAGAGGGCCGCCACGGACACGCCGTTTGACGTAAACTCACCATTTTTGGTATGAATCATCATCAACGTCTAAAGGCTCATATCACCGCATTTGAGGCCAATACGGTCGACCGGCTAATAATAGCACATGAAAGTGTAAAACACATTCTTTCCTACTGCCAGCAGGTGGCACTATGACTGTGAATTGATATTGGCATATGGGTTTCATCAGGGCAGGACTGTGATCAATTATGTAAAGTTTGAGGCAGATTGGAGCAGGTACAGGGTCGTTAGACATGCTTCCTTTTTGATGGCGAATCATCACAATTCAGAGGGCCACCACGGCCATGCCCTCTTTTTAATAAATTTTAATCACCAAGCCCTGTTGTATGTGCTGGCCAAATTTGAGGCGTGTAGGAGTTAACCCCTTGGAGGAGTTTGCTATCGAAAATGACAAAAATCACCAAAAATTGCAGTTATTTCAGAATGGCGGACTTCCTGTTGAGTTTACGGTATGGGTCCAAGAAGCTTTTTTGTGCGTCCCGATGTGTTACATATGCCTACCAATTTTTGTAAACATCGGTTAAACGTCCTGCGGGGGCTAATGGATAAATTGCTGCAGGGGTTTTGCCAAACAGGCACACGTTGTCTGTTGTTGAGCTGATAGTGACTCGTATGCAAATTTTGGTGAGTTTATGAGCATTCTAAAGCTGTCAAAAGACCTTTTTGTCTCAAAGTAACTATGCGTTGCCATGGCAACACTGTTGCTTGAAAACGCAAACGATTCACACTGTAGTATCGTCAACATGGGAAGAGTTAGCTTTTTTAAGAATGATATCACAAAGTTTGAAGCAATGGCACATGGAAGTATAATGCCTCAAACAGCCTGTTACCAATAGGTGGCGCTATGACTGTGAATGGATATTGGCATATGGATGTAATCAGGACAACAGTCTGATCAAATATGTAAAGTTTGAGGCAGAATGGAGCATGTACAGGGTAGTTAGACAGTACTTCCTCTTTTATGGCGAAGGATTAAAAATCTGGAGGCTGCCATTGCGCTATCACAGCAGTGTATTGTTTTACACACACGACACTTCTGTCAGACATGACAGGAAACCAGTGGCTTGTCACAACTAAAGGACAGATATTCCAGAAGCTTAAATGTAGTTACAATCGGTCTGACTGAAAAAAACAAAAAACAAAGTGATTACAATGATTACCATGTACTCGTAGATAAGATGTCTGTCATCCTCACCAAGGTAGAGACGAAGTGCCTTGAGGACTGCTGCCCTTTTCAGAGGAATATCACTTGTAGCCTGTGTGAAGACATTGACAAGATTTCTCAATCCCTAAATAACAACAATAATTGAATCAACAACCCTCTGGTAATGTAAATGAGGTGTCGGGAAGGAGACCCAAACTTGTGACCTCGGATAAGGACTGTATCTTAGGGCTGATCTGAATTCCTGAGTCTCCCCAAGTTGTCCGGCCAGAACAATAATGAGGATGAAATTCACACTTTCATGCCACTCTTGATTGAAAATGTGATCTCTCTGCACACAGACACAGTGTAAAAAAATGAGCTGAGGGCTGGGCTAAAAGCTGATTGGTGGAGAACGGGGGAGGTGCAGATAGTGATTGGCTGAATGGTTGCTGGGCTGTTAATGGGGCCTGTCTCTCAGATGTGGGGAGAAAGAAACATGACAGAACTAGTATAACTAATTATACTCAGTGAATAAATTTCTAATGAACGACACCAAATGCAACACAAAGTTGACCCTTGTTAACAAATTAACCTGAACAACTGAAATGCTAGGGTCGGTCACAGGCTCTGAGAAGTTTTCTGATCAATAAAAAGAAAAACATGGCTCCTCTAGTCCATCCTGTGACCCTTGTTAACAGCCGCCCACAACTTCGCAGAGCAAAGTTGAACACAGTCAATCAGGAACATCCTGAGGAAGTGCCGGAAGTTTGATGAGCTTAGCTACAGGTTGGGTGTAGGATTTGTCTTTAACCTGTATTTGAGCAGTACGAATCTTATCATCAGCTCCACAGAAAACAGCTGTGACTTTACCAACAAGCCACAGGGCACGTGGGAGGTGCTGGTCAACAACAAGAACAATGTCATCAACACTGATGTCCTCTTGGTCCTGTTGCCACTTGGAGCGGTTCTGGAGAGATGGCAAGTAGTTTCTGATGAAATGGATCCAAAATTGGTCCGCTAAGACCTGACAATGTCGCATCTGCGGCGACATGGGGGCTCTGTATCCGAATACACAACTTGAGGAGTAGATGGATCCAGCCGCCTCATCAGCAGCATGTTTGGAGTGATTGGATCCAGGTCTGCCACGTCAGAAGAGGTGTAGCTGAGGGTTTTGGAGTTGATGATGCCCTCCACTTCTGTAAAGATGGTCCTCAGGACTTCCTCTGTGACTGTTTGAGATCCCAGAATGGCATGCAAGGCTGACTTGATGGAGCGGATTTCATGCTCCCAAGAGCCCCCAAAATGAGGTGCACTTGGTGGGTTGAAGTGGAAGTGGATTTGCTGACTGGCGAGTTGGGAATGCAAATCAGGAGGAAGGGATTTGAAGGCCTCCTGGAGTTCTGAGCTGCCAACTTTGAAGTTTGTGCCTTAATCAGAAAGCAACTTGTGAGGCTTCCCTCGTCTGGAGATGAAACGCCGTAGACTCATAAGGAATGAATCAGTGTCCATGCTGGCCAGCAGATCAAGGTACACCACATGCGTGGTGAGGCATTTGTATATTATGCCCCATCGCTTCTCTCATTGCGCCTTCCTATCTTGATGAGGAAAGGTCCAAAGCAGTCCATTCCAGTAGAGTAGAAAGCTGGATGGCGTAACCGTAAACTAGAAGGTGGGAGGTCGGCCATTTTGGGAATGACAGGTTGGCTGCGCCACTTGCGACACTCTGGACACTGGTTTTGGTGCTTGCGGACAGCCTCTCTGGCCCGCAAGATCCAGAACCTTATGCACACTTCAGCAAAGACACTCTCTGGTCCTGGATGAGCGAGCTTGCGATCATGGTCTGCAATGATCAGCTTTGTAATGGGATGGTGAGGGTCTCGGACAATGGGACGTAAAATATCTGAGCTGAGGGATTCACAGCGTCTCAATTGGCCCCCCACACAAATCAGTTGAGTCTCTGGGTCGTATTCTGGAGCCAAGGTGAGGAGTCTGCTGCTGGATGGTAAGGACTTTTGGGAGGAGATGAGGGCAAACTCCTCTGGAAAACAGTCACTTTGCACTTGTCTGAGCAGAGAAAGTTAAGCTTGTCTGAAGGATTCAGCTGTGGGTTTACAATCGGTAGCCGCCCTGTGACATGCTCAAAACTGTAGCTTCCAGTAGCTCTGAGAAGAAATTAAACTGGCTGGTGTCCCGCAACTGAGAAGATG